GATATTGTATTATAGCATTTAGTATTATAGATGGTAGATGATATAAAAAAAACAAAGAGAATGTCATAATCCTATTTGGAAGCTAGCAGCATAAGGAAGCTTCTTAAAGTTTCCTCTATCGACTAAATCAAATCCTGTCTTCTAATACCCAGTCCAGCTACTTTATATACATATAATAGTCCGCCGCTTGGTATTTCTCCAAATTCTCCACTTTTGGCACTCTCCATAGGTCATCTACTAGGAATTGTTTAGATTCGATTCCACTAATAGAGGAAAAATAATGGAAATTCTGCTTTTTTAGCTTTCTCTTCCCGTATTGATACTCTTGAGGTAATATATATATCGATGATATACCAACATCAATAGTTATATGCTTAAATGTGAAATTAAAGGAAAAGCTTATATCTCTCATGAGGATTATCTTTGAGTAAAGAAGTTTGAGAAGAGTGACTTTCTCTCATTTTGAGGTTCTTGAAGATTATATACTTATTAATATGTTGTCTTGGCTTTGATGCTATATTATTAGTGGATGCAATACGTAATTTTGGAATAGATTGTAGTACCTAGACATTTAATTCAAGTAGAAAACTAAGAGAAACTCAATACCTTATGTCCTCACTCAATTGCACCCCATCATAACTTTTCTAGCGGTTACTCCTCATGTGTCATATGTCTGTCTTGGTCATCCGCCTCCAAATCCTTCTGATGATAACGGCGATGATTCTAATAATGCAGCTAATTTAGGAGATTAAATTTTTATTAATGTAACAATTTATATTTCCGCACATTTCTACTATAATTACATTTTTATTTTGTTATTTACTTTTTACAATTATAATTTTTATTTCTATTTTTTATTATTGATTTCCTTTTATTTAATTTTTTTATTTTTATAATATCATGAATTATATTTAATATTAGGTTTAAATATATAGTAATATACAACATTAATTAGTAAAATAAAAAAGTATAAATAAAAAATTAAAATATTATTTGCGACGACAAATGTGATCGCAAAAAATATGAGCCACGCCAGCTAAATCTACATCTTTTGCGATGACTTAATTCCAAAAATGTCATTACAAAAACTCAATGCCATGTCATCTTAACGATGTAACCGACGAAATAATTGCAACGACTCATTTGTGACGATTGTCGTCGCAAATATAATTGCGACGCCTGCTTATCATCGCAAAAATTGTTTTCGTGACAAATCAATTACGGCGACAAATTTGTGACGACAAGTGGTTGTTAAAATTTCATTTGCGATGACTTTACATTTGTTGCAACGAATTTGTGTCGTCGCTAATAGCCTTGTTTCTTGTAGTGTGGCAAAACGAACGAAGATGTCTATTAGAAAAAAATTACACTATGGTATACATCTTCTAACCCCAACTTCCCCCTAATGTTGTAATATGTAATTTTTATTAGCAGAAGGATTAGTTAAGTATTCGTTTTTTTTCTATAAATTTTAGATCACCAATGTAGGATAATAAACATTATATAAGCATCAAATTTGTAAAATGCATTAGCCTGCAGATATCACATAGCTACATATATATGTAAGACAAGGTGGGTCTTGCACTACATGAAATAGCACCATCATTAGTTACTATTTAATTAGCATTTTTCTAAATTTTGGCTTGTGATGATTTATGGGTGTGATTTTAATAGTTATTATAATATTTATTTAATATTAGTGAATATCGTTGTTTTAACTGTAATATGTTGATATGAGAGTTGTAATAAATTGAGTAGTTGACCAAAAAAATTTATAGTAATCAATAAAATCGAACTCTTGTCACACTATATTATCAGTTATCAAATTTTAAAATTGAATTTTTGTCACGCCACATTATCATTTATCAAAATTTTGTATTTAATATTTACGGATGAATAACCATTAAAAATTCGTGTTAGGATTTATATGTGTAAGGGAAATTATTATGGTTCCTTTAGGGGCACGTTAGCGGTAAGTGGCAACCTGCGGGCACCTCTACTTCAAACACTAAAGGAGGCAATTTTAAGCACTATTGTTCTCTCTTAGACATGATTGCTTGGCCCATGCAAACTTTCGTTGAGCTAAATTATGGATCGCTAAATTTTGGATCTTCTTCCGTAGACTTCCTTTAAGATGAATAATTTGCTTGGTTTTCAGTTTTCTCAGCAAGGAGTTCTTTAAAGGAAATATTGCTAAGCCACCAAATTAACAATATTGTCTACTTATAAATTATGATATGGACGGTGCATGTGCATTGCGTCATGAACTAAAATAATTCAGCTTCTTGAACGCAAAATTGGGTAATACTCAAATTCACCCACATATCCATGGTTGGTTGTGTCCCTCAAACCAAGGTTCCATGAGTAAAACCGAGAGATGGTATTTCAGATGGAGTCTATTAATAATGTGTTCTCACTAGTGAATTTTCTTTTTTTCTCTTAATCCGTGAATTAGTCACATTTTTTTTATCCACGTTGATAAGAATTTCTCGATCAATCCAAAGGGAATCATCTACTAATTCCACTCTTCCATCAAATCGTCACAAACAGTCAAAACACCAATTTCCTCCTCCGTGATTGACAGGGAACTCCAATTTTCCCCATAAAAACCGAACCAACAATAGAGAGCACACCCAACAAAACACACAAAAAGCGTGGAGAGACCGAGTAGAATAACTTCGCATGCTAACGGAAAGTAATATATTGATGCAGTAGATTTATAAAACTAAATTAAGTAAATAGTTGATTTTAAAATAAATAATAATTTATTATATAAATGTTTCATTTAAGATTAGTAAAAAGATTTTTTTTCACGTAAATTTTTATTTTTACATCAATTAAAAAAATATTTTTCAACGTAAATAAAATATTTTTACAATATAAATTATTTTTACCAGTCATATATGATAGATTTATACAATAAATTATTATTTACTATTTTACTTAAAATAGTTTTAAAATATGTTATATACTTAATTTAGTTTTAAAAATTTACTATTTACTACAATTTCCATATATTTAATAAACCTCTTAGTTTAGTTTAAGTTTCCTCCTCTTATATTTTAGAAAACAAAAAGAGTAGTTATATTTACACTCCAAAAACTTATAAATACCCCCACTAATTAAATAAATACCCCCCACTAATTAATATTGCTCTGATAAAAATTTTAAAAATCTACCCGATATTTATTTTCATAATACCTAATATAACCTTCTTATATTCTCACTTTAATTTTAATCTTGATTTGATATAAATAATGTAATCCTTTCGACTATTAATGTTTAAAAATATATTCGTGCCCTTTCATGCTATTTTGATAACAATAAATATAAAGGTAATAATTACATTATCACGAAATTGCGTGATTACGTCAGCTTAAGGTACTTTTGCACTGTGTCGTGAAAGAATCATCACCAATCCATGTAAAAAGCTTCACATTAGTAGGAACTAAGAAAAAAGAGTTTTATGCTATAAATGCTCTAAAAATGTGGAATTATAAGAAAATTTAAAAAGAACCATTATAAGAAAACAACAAATGGAAGGAAAAAGAAAATACGTAACTCTAAGAAACTTTGAAGATGCCTTTTTTTTTTTTTTTTTTTTTTTTTTAAAGTTAGAACCTCCACTGAAATCTTTAAACAATTTGATGGAAAAAATTTAGGTTTTATTAAGATGAAATTAACATTAACAAAAGATGTGGAGGTATTTTTTTTATTCATTTACAAAATCCTTTCTACGTACATAGCTCATTTGGATATATGCTTTTTTATTTATTTTTTATTTTTTATAAGAATACTATTTCTATTTATAATTAAAGTGGGGTATAATATTTTTAATGCAGGATAAAATTGTAATAATAATAAATTATGATTTAGTGGAGACATTAAAAAATTTAATGGAATATAATTACTCAAATAAAAAATCCTTTCCTTCAACCTGGGAAAGCCACGGAGTGGGTGAAGAAAAATGAAAACCAACCCAAGTTTACCATTTAAATTTTCTACTATATCACGAAAAGATATGATATCCATTCATATATATATATATATTCATAAAAGTTTCAGTTTGGTCGGGCTCCAAAATATGGTATAAAATTTAAACTGATTTTTTTTTATTTGTCATGTTGGTCCATTGAGTCAATTTATTTATTTAATTTTTAAATGCCAACGAGTCAATTTAAGTTGAGAATATAACACGAATTCTTGTTTCGAATTTTGATATAATTTATATGAAAAATGAATTATCGGATTCTTCAATAGTTCAATTTATTTATTTTTTGAACAATTCAATAGTTCAATTTATGAGGTTACAAACTTTTGTCATAAAACGTGATATAACAATATTTACTACATATTCGTATAAATAAAAAAGTTTGCGTCAAAATTAAGGCGGAAGAATTTCTCACCGTATTAAGCACTCTTGTTAAAATAAAAAAAAAAAAAAAAATGTTAATTGCACTATCTCTATCATTCTCTATATTTACTATTTATATTTTATGTTTAAATAAAGAAAATGCTGTTATAATTTATCGGAAAAAATAATATGAAGAAATACAAATTTATTTGCTTCTACCGGCTAGTTATTGGAGGTGCAGACTGAACGATTTGTGGGTTCCACGTAAACATGGTAACAAAAAATTGTTTCAGATGAATCCACTTGGCCTAATTATAAGCACACTTACACTATGTGGCCTTAAAAAATAATTATATATATAATTTCATTGTTCAGCAAATAGCGGCAAATTCTTACTTTTCCTCTCCCTCAAAAAAAAAAAAAAAAAAGCTTTTGCTCCTGGGTCCAGCTGTCAGTCAGATAGTGGTGACAGCTGGCGAAGGGCAATAAAAAATGACAGGTAATCAGGCCAGCAGGGAAAACAGAAGCCCACAAATTGGGCCTGGCAGTGGGGCCCAGTGGATGCTACTCTGTGTCTTTTCTCTGGCGCGGTTGTTTTAAAAAGACGTGGAACTTGGTCTCTCTCAGTTTCTCTCTTCTACAAAACAAGCCGCCAAGTCTAGCGTCCCCTTAACCAAAAACAATACTATCACTCGTTTCTTTTCTCCCCTTCGCCTGAGAGTTTTGCTTCTCCAATTCCGCCGGAGAATTTCGCCGTCAAATTCTCCGGCGTGTAACCGCCGCCGTTGGTACTGCCCTTTCACTTCTTCTCTTCATTCTTCACCAATATCAAGATTTCGACTTGGTAGTTTCTCTTCTTTTCTTTCTTTTTCTTTCTTTTTTTTTTTCGAGTTTTTTTGGGTGACGTGTTATTGTATTTATGGGTTTGGTGAGATTCTTGTTATGACAACTGGAAATGAAACGAAAAGCAATTAAAGAAGTTGCCTTTCTCAATGCTGCGTTTGGTTTTCAAGAAAAGTACAGGGGATTACGAAAGAAAATAACCACTCAGTTTTTTTTTAGTCTCATTTCACTCTTTGTTTAACACAGTCAAATACAGTTGTTCAGTCCTGAAATGCTTTCCTTTTTTCTCTGTTTTCTTTTAAGGCTCAAAAAAACAAAAAAACAAAAAACGCGATTTTCATTTTAGAGGAAAACAGAAATCTCGACTTGCATGTGTGAAACTTTTACTGCGGAAGTAGTAAAACATACACTTAATCACTTCCGCATATTGTTTTCATACGTTCAATCTTTATAGTATGATTTTCATTTTCCTTTTCCTTCTTCTTATTGGTCATTCTCTCAGTTTCTTTCTTTCTTTCTTTCTTTCTTCTCATGTACTTTGAGTTCTGTTCTGTCCATTCTACTTTCTCTCTCTTCTCTCTTAATTGATTAAAAGCAAGTTCTTCAATCTGTTGTTCACATTTTCAGATGGAAAATCTCAAAGCCCCTTTCCGGGGTATTGCCAACGATGTCCGGGGAAGATCTTCATGTTATAAGCAAGATTGGATTGTTGGTCTTCGTTCAGGAATTGGGTAAGCTCCAAGTTAAAAGTATACCCTTTTTCTCTCTGATTTCTTTTTCTTTTTTTTTTTAAATTTTATTGATTATTTATTTATTTATGGTTTGTGGCAGGATTTTGGCTCCAACCACGTACATCTTCTTTGCTTCTGCCCTTCCTGTTATTGCATTCGGTGAACAACTGAGCAGAGACACAGGTTTGGTCATGGCTTCTATTTACTACCTTAATTTCCACAAGTGGAATATCCCACGGAACCTAACTTTGTGGAATTCAAACCTGACTTTAGTTCATGGCTCAAAAGCCTTGTGGAAAAACAGGGAAGAAAAATCCTTTTTGTCCGAGAGCCAAGTTTGATTTTTCTTTTTTCCTTTTTATTTTTTATTAATTCATTGAAAATGAAAGTAGGTTCCTTGCTATACATATTTTTGGCCTTTTTGTTCGGAAGCTAAAGTGATTTTTGTTTTTTCTTTATTTCATTTTATTGTATATGTACTTTTTTTTTCCTATTTTTTATTATGAGTCTGAAAGTGATATGGCTTTATGGATTTTGGACGTATAGATGGAAACTTGAGCACGGTGGAAACTTTGGTTTCTACTGCAATTTGTGGTGTAATACACTCGATTTTTGGAGGCCAACCTCTTCTGATCCTAGGAGTTGCAGAACCTACAGTTATTATGTACACCTATTTGTACAACTTCGCCAAAGGGAGGGATGATTTGGGACGTGGATTGTTTTTGGCTTGGGCGGGATGGTAAAGGAAAAAGCCCAAAAGGGCACCCATAGCAATATATATTGTGCGTGTTTGGAACTGATTTTAAAAATAATTTTATTTTAAAAAATAAAAAATAAAAAAAAAGGAAACGATTTTTGTTTGATAAATGTTTTAAAAATAAAAATAAAAATGAAAATATTGAAAATAATTTTTATGAATGAGTTAAAAAACAGTTAAAAATTATTTTTATTTTTTTATTTATCAATAATATTATAATATATTAATTAATAAACACGATTTCACATTTTTATTATACTCAAAATAATTTTTTAAAAACTCAACCAAACACAATTTTAAAATCAATCTCAAAATAATTCTTAAAACAATCTCATTTTTATTTTTTATTAAAAATAAAATCATTTTAAAATTAATTTCAAACGCCACCGGTTACTTTTCAGTTTTGTTCATTTGGGTACATATGTGGACCTTTTAACAATTAACGCCAATTATTTTGTTCTACAGGGTTTGTGTTTGGACGGCACTTTTGCTGTTTCTACTGGCAATATTCAATGCCTGTGGTGTGATCAATAGATTTACAAGGATTGCAGGAGAACTTTTTGGCATGTTGATTGCCGTCTTATTCATTCAAGAGGCTATCAAGGTAAGGATTTCTTTTTTCTTTCTTTCTTTTTTTTTTTTTTTTTCTCCCTGTAGAAATAAGGCCATTTATAGACTTTCATAATGAAAAGATAGCAAATATCATATGAGGTCAAATTTTTTGATGGAAGGGTGTGGTGAGCGAGTTCGAAATTCCAAAAGCTGAAGACCCAAATTTGGAGAAGTATAAATTCCAGTGGCTATATGCAAATGGACTACTGGGGATCATATTCACTTTTGGTCTTCTCTATACTGCTTTAAAGAGCAGAAGGGCAAGGTCATGGTTTTATGGCACAGGTTAGCAACGTGCATTTGAACGACTTGATTAGATATCTGTTAGATTTCCTATGGAATCTAATAGTAGTTCCTTTGTTCTGCAGGGTGGTTGAGAAGTTTTATTGCAGATTATGGAGTTCCTCTAATGGTTTTGGTGTGGACAGCCTTGTCATTCAGCGTACCGAGCAAAGTTCCCTCTGGAGTTCCTAGAAGTCTCTTTAGCCCTCTTCCCTGGGAATCTTCATCTTTACAACACTGGACCGTGATTAACGTAAACAAAACTACATAAATTTTAGTTTTATGTATCTCTGGAGTGAAATAATCTGTTTTATGTTGTTTCTGCAGGATATGGGAAAGGTTTCTCCTGTATACATCTTTGCAGCCTTTATTCCCGCTGTTATGATCGCTGGGCTCTACTTTTTCGACCACAGCGTCGCTTCGCAGATGGCACAACAAAAGGAGTTCAATTTGAAGAATCCTTCAGCTTACCATTACGACATCTTGTTGCTTGGCTTCATGGTAACATATAGTACTATTTGCCTACTAATTAATACATGCTATATTTACGCGTGACCATTGTATACTGATCCAAAGCTATGAAAACTATGACAGACGCTACTTTGTGGACTACTGGGCCTGCCTCCATCTAACGGGGTCCTTCCTCAATCGCCTATGCACACAAAGAGCCTCGCAGTTCTCAAGGGGCAGGTACTTGAGAGGAAACGCGAACGCCAATGGATATTTATGCCTTAGATTTTCGGTCTTTGAGCTAAATTACCAATCACGTTTTCTATCCAATTGCAGCTGATTCGGAGGAAAATGGTAGAGAGTGCCAAGGAAAGCATAAAGCAGAAAGCCAGCAACTCCGAAATCTTTGGCCAAATGCAAGCTGTGTTCATTGAGATGGACATCAGTCCAGAAGTAAGTCCTCTAAAAGAATAATACTGATCTTTTTTCTGTGAGAGAACAAGATCTTTCATCCCGAGATCCTTACTGAGAAATAATATTTACAACGTCCTGAATGCTCTCTGGCGCAGACTACTGCAGTTGTTAAAGAGCTTCAAGACTTAAAGGAGGCAGTGATGAAAAGTGAAAACCAAGACGAGAATGCAAAGGGCGCATTCGATCCAGAGAAGCACATTGATGAGTACCTTCCCGTCCGAGTTAACGAGCAGAGAGTAAGCAATCTTCTACAGTCGCTTCTTGTTGCAGCATCGGTATGCGCCATGCCTGCAATAAAGAAGATTCCCACATCAGTTCTCTGGGGATATTTCGCCTATATGGCCATCGACAGTCTCCCTGGAAACCAGTTTTGGGAAAGGATGCTTCTCCTTTTCATCACTCCCGGCCGCCGATACAAGTAAACCTCTTTCTTAACTGATAAAGAAATGGATGTTCAAATATTTAAAAACCAAGTTTTTAATGTTGGTGACTTTGGCAGGGTCTTGGAAGGGGTTCATGCTTCGTTTGTGGAATCAGTGCCATTCAAATACATTGCAATATTTACCATATTCCAATTTGTGTATTTCCTGTTGTGCTTTGGAGTGACATGGATTCCTATAGCTGGAATATTGTTTCCCTTGCCATTCTTCCTTCTCATCAGCATACGACAACATCTTCTTCCCAAGCTGTTTCGACCACACCATCTGAGAGAATTGGATGCAGCTGAATATGAAGAAATCACTGGCGCTCCAAGGCGCTCTCTCAGCCTCTCTTTCAGTGTACGTATTATGATCAACATTAAAAGGAATAAACCCAAATCCCCCTCGCGTTCTCAAGGTTTAAACCCGGGTTTAAATCCCACAATTCAAAACACATGGTTCAAATTCAAGGTGCAAACCACCGTGTTTTGAACTGCTTTACGAACCTTAAAACGTAACTAGGCCATTTAATTTACTGATTAAAGTTTTTAATTTAAATTAAGAAGTGATTTATGTAAATTTTTTTTTTCTAATCAAAAATTAAATGTGAATTTTTTTTAGAATTTTTTACTATAATAAAATTTAAATTTTAAATTTGAATAAGTAAAATGAACAGAATTTTAGTTTTTTTATTATGTATACACAAAAGTATTACTCATATTGTTTTTTTTTTAATTTTTTAAAATTGGTTAGGAAAGAGAAACGCCACGTGTTGGAAACGAGGAAGGCGGGGTTGAAATTATGTGTGATGCTGAGATATTAGATGAGTTAACAACCAGCAGAGGAGAAGTCAGAGTAATTAGAAGTGTTAGTTTCAGTGAAGACAGAAGTTGTCTGGTAAATAATTAATATATTTTACTAGCTAGCCTGCCTTTCACGTCACGTTTTTTATGTACATATATATAAAGAACCATATGGTATGATTTTGAATATGGAAGGAGCTGCAAATGTACTCATTTGGCGGTTTTCTTTTACAGATTCATCCTGATGGTGTTGCGGGAACAGAGTGAAAAGAAGAGTTGAACTTGAATAGAAGTTGACATTATAACAAAAGAGAAAGAAAGATGAGAGGAATTGTATTTGTGTATCTGAGTGTTAACGATATTAATTTAAAATAGTTAGGATTAGTTATTTGGTCTCTTTATTAGTAAGGATAGATTAGTCTTTTAGTATTATGCTTGTATGGCTATATAGGCTATATAAACCTCTCTTTGTCGATGAATTAGGTTCTCTCTCATTGCAATAGAATTTTAGTGTTACGATTTTCTTTTATTTTTTTCTTTTATTTTCTTTTTCTATTTTGTATTGGGTATTTCTCACATGGTATCAAAACAATGATCTTTATGGGATTGAGATTAAAGGTTCGTTTGGTTGGAGAATTCAAACCATGTGATTCGAACTATTTTCGATTTACGTGTATTTTTTGTGAGAGAAAATACTGTAGCGAACCACGAATCATAATTCGAATCAAGAAACGAATCCCTCCACCAAACGCCCCCTAATTGTCATTAGTTTTTACCGTTGTTTGTAATTGGAGGCATCAGCAGTTATAAAGTAGCCTGAGAATTGATGAAAAAAAAGTGGAATATGGTTTTCGGTTTATATGTTTTATTAGGATTTTGTCAATTGTTTATGCGAGTTTGGATGCAATTTGAAAAATTGTGCTTTCGCACAGCAAGAAGAAGAAAAAAATTGAATAAAGACTGACGTTTTGGAAATCATATAATTTGATTGAGTTTAATAATTAATTTCTAATCAGTGGTTGTACAATCAGTTTTTTGTTTCTTCTTGCTTCCGTTTGGACTCTGGTACTATCATATTAGGTAGTAATATTTGTATTATTTTTTCTTTTCTTTTGATTGACCTGTATTGGGTATTGGTATTGTACTCTTTCTTCCTCTTTAATTGGTTGCATTCTCCACCTCTTTTGCATTCTCTCTTTTTTGATTGGCTCATGTTGGGCTTTGGTATTGACATTATTGGTATTGGTATTTGTATTAGTATTGGCATCAGTATTAACATTGGCATCAACATTGACATTGAAATTGACATTGGCATACGTATAAAGCTGCAAAATTATTTGTGAAGTCGTGTTTCAATTTTTAGTTTTGTCTGTTTTGTTTTTTAGTTGACAAACTCTTGATGCTTTTTGTAGTCGCATCATAAATTTGAGATGAGATGTTAACGATATTTATCTTTATTTTAGGATTAGAATTAGTTATTTAGTTATTTCTCTTTATTAATAAGGATATATTAGTCTTGTAGTATCATGCTTTTAGGGCTATATAGACATATGAACCCTGATTGTTAGTTTATTTAATGAATTAAGTTTTCTCTGCAATTGTAATAGAATTTTAACATTATAACTCTCTCTCTCTCTCTTTTTTTTTTTTTTTTTTTTTTTTTTTTGCATTGGATATTTCTCACATCGAGAAAGTGGTATTGTAATATGAAATAGAAAGATCGGCAGAAACGAGAAGGTGAAGATTGGAAGAAAAGAGAAGGTGGGCACCAATAAGGTGCATTAGAGAGAGAGAGAGACCGAGTAATTAGTAGGAAATCAGAGTAGAAAAGTAATTGCTGGGATGTCATAAATGGATGCGAGTATGTTGTCAAGATACGCTGTTGCTGACTTGCTGTTTGTTGATTTATAACTCTATCCAATGGTGAAAGAAATTGGTATAAATTTTCAATAAAGCAAGAAATTAGTATAAATGTGTATCACGCCTTTTTTTTAATTTTTTTTTTTATGGAAAAGATTGGGTATCACGTCTATAGTGATGTTTGCTAGGCACTTGACGATTTTTATCTATGCCGTGCTGTCGTTTTTTGCGATGTCGCAGACGTTTTTAGTTAATGTCGTTAAATAAATTATCGTCTGGTTCAATCAATTGTCATTGCCAATATTATTGAATAACGATGTCTTTCTTGGGTACTTTGTGATTTTTATCCATGCTGTCGCTTTACTATGTAACATATAGCTGTCTTCTAATTTTTAAATTATTATTTTCGACGTCCATTCTTTATCTGAATCTCTAGACACTCTCTGTCGTTATCATTCGGTGTCGTTTTTTACTTTTCATCTCATCGTTATCGTTTTCTTAAATTATTCTCGTCTTCTACAATGATGCCGATTTCGATAACCTGAGGATTTTGTTATATGCGGTTGGTTTGGAATCGTTATTTTAATTAATATTCCATTTTCTCTTTCCATGTACTTTCTCAATCTTTTGTTGTTTTCGAATGGATGTCGTTGTGGATTTTCATTGTCTGACGTTTTTGTAATGGTTGTCGTTTTCAACGCTTTTGTGGTTTGAAGGTAGCTGACATTTTCTATCTATGCTATTGTTTGTATGTTTTAGTTGTTCTAGCGATTGCAGTTTTTTCGATGTCCATGTCGTTTTCTCAATCTTTGTCATTCTTAATTCATTGGTTGTTTGCTTATATTCACCATTGCATAACGACTTTAATAATGATAAGGAAATAAAATGGTTGAAAGTATATTTTCTTTTATTTCTCCAAACATTGGAGAAATGTGACAATAAAAATATCAAACTTGATGTATTTGATTATAATATTCCGATGATGACTAATTTAGATTGAAATAGTTATTTTATTTCTCATTTATTTGTTAATTTTTTTTGCTTTTCTTTTTAAAGTTAGAAAGATTAAAATCAAACAAACAAAAATTCTTTTCCTTTTTAAAATCCGTCATCTAATTTCCTTTTCAACTCTACCAAACACAGGCAAAAAATCAAAAGAAAAAATTTAAGAGAGTGATGGAAATTTGTGTTGCTTATTCACCCCGCCGTACCTAAAGAAAAGTGCACCCAAAAAAAAAAAAAGGATCCTACAAATTCTATCAAATCACAAAAAAGCAATTAAAAAGAGCAAGACAGCAGACAAAATAGAAAAAGTGCTGAACAATAGACCACTCGCCACTCTACCACGTGTGCATCTTATCAACTTCTCCTCTCATACCCTCACCGACCCAATATCACCTACGCCAACCTCAACTTGTACTCCCTCTAGATGCATTAAAAGATAGTGTCTTTTAGACTAAAATACCCTTCATATCCGCCTACAATCTCCAAAAGCTCCGAGAGTACAACCGTCCAAAGGCATACATTCACACAGTTTCACGTAAATACCACAACAGCTGATAATCTCCCTCTGCCTATCTCAAAACCATCGAAAAGCCCTTCCCTTTTTGGTTTGGCCATCTTCTCTTCTTCTCTCTCTCCACCGTTTTTTGTCTCAAGACTACAACTTTCTCCTCTCTCTCTCTCTCTCTCTCTCTACATTTTTCATTCTTCCCAGCGCTCCAATGTCGACCACTTCCCTCACACCCTTCCGTCCCGGCCCGATCCACGCATCCTCTTCATCCTCCTCAAGAAAATCAGACCCGAACCGCCGCAAACAGTCATCTGCCAACTGGTGGGCCCCTCTCTTCGGGTGGTCCTCCGATCCGGACTACATCAACTCGTCGTCTCAGAACCCGAATGCTGGCCCGGATCCGGAGCCCGAGCCCGCGTCGGAGGCGGAGCGGCCCAGATCCAGGTTCTCCCTTGGCTGTTTCACCGAAGAGAAGGCCAAGCAGCTCCGGAGGAAGACTCTGGAGGGCTCGACTTTCCACGACGCCATGTACCACTCGGCGATCGCGTCTCGTCTCGCCACCGACTTGTCGGACCGCGCTAACAACGAGAAGTGACCGATCGGAGCTCGGGTGACTTCCTCGCCGCCGGTTCTTTTTCTCCGTTGAGGTTTGGAAGCTATTATGTCTGAATGCTTTTGTTGGTCGTTACTTGGCATTGTCAATTTGTCGAAATCAAACTTTTAAGGCAAAAAAATGTGTTCTTGTTTGGTGAAGTCAAGAATCAAGAACTTTTTTTTATCTTGTGGATGGCCATGGATTATTTGTCTGGTCTGACTCTTGTTTTCTTTGTCAAGTAATGATAGTCTATAATGGTAGATACTAGATACTTTTTCTTTGATTAATTTCACGTATGGATTATGGTTTTATCGCATATGACTATCGTATTGGTTAGGTTTTTCTAAAAATAAATAAATCTGATCTCAGTTCTACAGAGGAGATGAACGGCTTTGATCGGTTGAACGATGGTTGAAATAATCTGACGGTTAGAAATTTTTGATGGGCCATGGGTTTAGTCAACGGCTCTGGTCTTTGGTCTCTGCTCTAAATACACTCTTTGACCCTTTTTTGGTTTTTTTGGTTTTTTTGGACCCTTTTTTGGTTTCTTCGTTATTGAAAGGAGATTCAAACGCGTAATCAGCTGGTTTTTGAGAGATAAATTATTCTCTTAACGTAAAATCTTTTGGGTTGTACTGGTAAACGTTCTGTTTCACATTTATTAAAAAAAATGGCATTACTGATGTCGTCTTTTGTATGGCTTTTTGGTAGGAACTTTGTTTAAAGTTAAGAGCAGGAACAGAATGATCTTTTTTTCCTTCGTTTTTTCTCTGCCATTTCTATTTCAATTTTAACTTCATTTTGAAAAGGGTGCCTGTTTTTATTTGTCTTGAAGCTGGAGCTAGATGGATAATCTATAAAACTTGAATGTTTCGTGACAGCACATAAAATGCACATGCATAAGATTATCCATTTGACAACAATTTTCTGATAAACTAGCTGTAGCTGGAATGGATAACCTTAATCCTTTGGACTTTTGGATCCATTGCGTGTCAATTTGTTCGACTCTTTATTTATTTATTTACTATTTTATAACACAACAACAGCAAATAGAAAAAAAAAATCGAATTGTAAAATTAGAGCGCTCTTAACATCCAAGAGAGAATTGCTGAGAAGAATCACAATGTGGCTGCACTGACTGGCATTCAGTGAAGTCCATTGATGCCATGACAACAAGTAAATATACGTGTCATTTGAAAAAAAAAAAAAAAAAAGTATATTTACGTTTAGCTAACAGTAGCAAATTACTGCCGATAATCAAAATAAAAAAAAGTTGCAAATTACTTGGATTTGGATGGAATACATATCGAGGAACGATACTTGTTGATGTCAAATAGCAGATCCAATTTGCTTAGCGTGTTCAACTTTTTGCTCAAAGGTAATAAAACATTTATAAGTCTAGTTACTAGTTGAAAACTCCCAACATTTGATTGTTGTTCTAGAGTTATCACTGGTCATTTGATGAGGGGGTAAGATTGCCCGTTCTCTTCGATAAAATCTTAAGTCCGATTCACTCTCATTGTAAGTGTGGGCATACAAGCAATTCACTTTATAAAAGAATCCCATACTTAGAAATGTCTTGAATCCCCGAAATTATACACTAACTCTCTACCTTTATAATGCTTTCCTTCACATAACAAAACAAATGTAGTTATAGAGTTTGATTAAAATGAACAGTTTACATTGTTTACCAAACAGATGTGCAGGATCTTCCAGTATGGATCCAAATTTGGATTACCACCGCGTGCAGACAGTTGAAAGCACACAAATATGGATAAACCATGGACTAGTTCGAATAATCTAAAAAGAAAAAAAAAGTTGTCAAAAGTTTTAGGACATTTGTCACTATGCTTAATCAAAATCAAAATCCTGAAGTACGAGTGTACATGGGGAATGTTATGAGATTGGTATCACTTTATCAGAGTGTGGGCCGCATGCATGGCCTATATTTCCAGCGATAAGGTATGGGCTAGGCCTTACTATTTTACGAAGCAATTTGGGGTTAAATCCTGTATATTTGAGGTACAGAAAAAGATATGGTAAGCCATAGGTTAAGCAACAACTCGATCACCATCTTGCTAAAATTACTAATGTAGTAGTTGTTTAGGGTGATGCTAAGATGGTCGTGGAAGGTTTCGCGGGAGTGTACTTAAATTGGTTGGTGGATTTTATTACGGATCAAATGATTTCGTTTAAGATTTTGTCTTCTTTAATTGAGTGAGAAGAATCGATAATATCGTCGTTTATATTTTGATTTCTTTTAATTCGACTTCTTGCTTTTTAGGGGAGGTTGTTTGTGTTCCTGTGCTGATTTTATTGGACTCTATTTCTACAGTTTTCTATTGTTTTATCAGTTTGGTTCAATGAAATGGTTTTCTATGATAATAACAAAGAAAATAAGGTACCAGACAAACCTCTTTTCCACTTGTGCTTTATACGTGCTCAGCTTCCTTAGTAAGAGTACGAAATGAAGATTTTGGATGGCATTTCAGTGCTTGTTAGACTTCATGATTAAGTTGAGTCGAGCTAAGATACATTACCATTTTACCAAAGCATTTCTATTGGCATGATTTTAGGCATTTGAAATTGGTAGCTTATTATATATTGTGAGCGACACAAAAATAAATCAGAATAGTTTTTTCTCTTATCAAAGAAAAGTCATTTCCCATGATTTTCATTGTCTAATTTCTTATTAGTATTACCTATTAGTTGAATCATATCCTTGACCGGAAACATCAGTATAGAAAAGAGAACATGCAAATGTTGAATTAGGTAGTTCTTAAAATAGTGAAATAATATGTAACAAGAAAAGCTTTTTGTAAAATAACTTTCAAAAAAATTTTATTTGCAAAGTCACTACGGAACCATTAGAAATGACTACTTTCTTTTTTTGCACCCAAAAATCTCCCAAATACACTTTATGAATCTGCGCTAGAAACTCAGCCCTCTGCCAACCCCTACAATCTTTAGAAGGTAGGAAACTATGATTTTTGTCATATAGGTGCCCATGAGTTGGTTCGAACCTCAAATTTTATAGGAGCAAACCAAAAGCCCGACCATTCCAACTACAATCCCATGTGTAAAAACGTCAATTTTTTTGCAAAAAAATGTTCGAAAAAAGGTCATTTTATCAATTTCATTTTACAAGATAATCATTTTGGCAATTTTCACTAAGAGGAGCACGAATAAAAGTTCAATACTAATTATGTGATTAGAGTTTTTAAATATTATTCAACTTAGGATCATTAATGAGACGTTAGATTTATGGATTCAAAATCATGATTTATGATTCTGATTTTTAAAATTTAAATTTTTTATGAGAAAAAAATATTGTAGAGAATCAAGAATCATGATTTAAAATCAAGAACCCACGACACATGCGTCCATGTTGGTTGTTGCCAGAAATCTCTACACGATTGCAATTATTCTCAAGCTTGCCCTCTCTCATATACCACCGGTGACCACCGTCGCTTACCGTCGCTTCTATAAATTTACTATAAACTATTCAATTATTGCCGACCAAAGACCAACACAAGCAAAAGCTTACAGAATTACAATTATACAAAATAATAATATGTACTAATTTGGCTGTTAATTCGCATTAGAGATTGAATGCATTTTCAAATCAGGATCTTGATCACTGCACATGGGTTGCCAGCCCAAAGATCCGGAATGTGACATTTCTTTAAGAAGGTGAAAAAAAGGGGGTGATTAGATTGTGCATTTTTATTGATCTGATGTTCCTTTGTTGTTCTCACGAGCTAAAAATCCTTAAGTGTTACAACCTTTCACATAAAGATACCTTTTCAAATTTTAAAGGTTATCTTTTATATGCTGATGCACTTATATCAATAGATATTTCTATTGTTAATAAGTGCTCAGATATGTGAGAAAACATATCACAAATAGATGCAATGGTTCGAGACCTTTTCAGATCACTAAAACACACGAAAACACATTTTCCGTTAACAATTTACGCTGCAGCGCCCAAGAAGCGCGTTGCAGCGCACACTGTTGTGCGCTGCAGCGCGCGGGCTTAGCAAAACAGACCCGAGAGGTCTGTTTTGCGCAGGCTGCAGCGCCCAATAAGCGCGCTGTAGCGCGCGCTTGTGTCCGCCCACTCTTCCCGAATGTGTTTTAAGCCAATTTTGTGATATCGAAATTGAGAGATATATTACAATCTCTCATATATATTTTAATTTATTTTTTGCGCATAGAAATTTGAGGTTATTTAAGAAGAAATAGAAAAGCTTGCAAAATGACAAGAAAGACACTGTCAACATTGTTGTATAGCTTTCTTTTTTTTTTTTTCCGACAATGTTTTATACTTTTATAGCTAGTTACTAATAAGAAATAGGAAATAGATGTGGATTAATTGGCTTGTCTTCAACCTCCCCCAGAAAAACATTTCCTGATCAGTGAAGGAACTATTTCTTTACTCAAATACGTGAACCTATAAAAATATTAAAAAAATATTAGCGTCACTTCTTCTATCATTATTTTTGTCATTTTTTTTATTTATTATTTCACACGTGAATCAAATAATGAATGTAAAAAGTGACAAAAAAATAATAAAAAAAATGAAACTAACATTTCTCAAAATATTATGCACATGTCGAATTTTATTTTATTAATGAAATCCAAGATATTCCATCCTTTTTTATGTTCGGTTTGCAGTTCTGTTTTTGGATTAAACATATTTTTCCTCATATCACAATTTTTTTTTGAGGCATCACCTATCCTATCAAAAATTAATATACGAACAAAACTGGATGTCATACAATTCATATATACATTCCATACTTTGGTATTTGGATTCCCAAAAAAAAAAAAAAAAACAGAGAGAGAACAGTATTTAACAGTGGCAAAAGTTTTTTTCTTACAGAAGGTGTTAACAATTAATGCAACATTGCAAAGAAAAATGGAAATTTAATCGATTGATCATAAAATTAAAAAGAAAACAGACAAGAAAAGATTAAATAAAGACAAAATTTTGACTTAGTCAATGGGTTTGCGTTGTTTTATTTATTTTTTTCTTATTTCATCTGTACAAACAATAAGTGGATTAAGACTTAAGGAGAGTATGCCTTGAGTACACTAAAAATTTTGGGCAGACAACCAAAAGTCTTAGGGGCGGTTTACGCCGTTTAGTTCATTGATTTAAATTTTTAATTTGAGTTGTTTATTAATTTAAATTTTTAATTTGAGTTGAAAAATAATTTTATGTGATAATTTTTTATTATAATAAAAAAATTAAATGTGATTATTTTTAAAATTTTTTTATTATAATAAAGTTAAAATTTTAAACTCAAATCGGTAAAATAAATGAGATTTTAACCTAACAATTTCGTTCCATAAAATTGTATGTCTTCCTGGAAGGTGGCACTTTGAGGATATAGTTCTAGTGGTACAGTTGTGAATTCCTCCAAATTCAGTGGCATTCTCACAAGCAGAAATAAATAAAACCCACTGTCACCTCTATGATCTCGACGCCAACCCCCTCCTCTCTCTTTCCCTCCCTCCCTCCCTCTCTCAATGAAGGTGTGCAAAGCCACGGTGGTGCTAGTGCTATTGTGTGCCATCAGCCACACAGCATTTTCGGCTGTTAGAAATGGTAAGCTGATGTGATCAACTCCCCTGTAATAGAAATTATGCTTCTTAATTTACTATGTACTATGTTCTTATGATATATATATATATTTATGTACATATGGAGTTTGAAATCGTCATTGAAGAAGCACCAACATTAACATGGACATATATATATATATATATATATA